GTTAAGTCAGTTTGGGCCCAGCAGGGGTCGTCCCCAGTAATAGGGTAGGGTTTGTTTGGGGGGCCCCTTCCCCCGCTCCCCAAACAGGCGTTCGTGATAACGGGTGTCATAGATGGTAACTTTGTGTGACTGGGGTTTTGAGTACGGGGTCTAACTACGAATAACGGCACAAAATACATAGTAACGTGTGAATTCCCTAGGAAAATCAAAAAAAGTCAGGAAAAGGGTTACTTTTTTCCCTTTGTCATTGAGCATAGTAATTAGCAGTTTTTTTTTTTTAACCCCTCATAAATTACCATCACAAATATGTGTTAACTTCTTTTCCTTTAAAAAATTTTACGGGGGAAAAGTTATTTTTAAATTTGTTTAAACCCTTTTGCTTTTAAAAGTAACCCTTTATTTTGAAATGCAACTCCTGATTTTTTTTATACAGTTCAATTTGTCTTTTTTTTTGAAAACCCTTTTTGGGTGAGAATATTCCATTAAATTTTTTACCCACTGTTTTCCTCTGTGTCCCTGTGTGTGTTTTTATTTTATTGGCATTCCTCAAATGGCTTTCTATGCAGTGAGTTTTTAAAAATTGGGTGCTTGTTCTCTGTTTAAAATTTTCTTTTATACAAGTTCATATTTTAACCATTTGCTTTTTTTGTATCTTTGCGGGAATCCCCTTCTTACCATTTTTTTTTTCTAAAATGATTTTCTTTTAAATTTTTGTGCTTTGTGTAAGAGCTTGCCCTCATTATTCATTGCGAGGGTGAAATGGGGTTTTAAATTTAAGTGGGGGTATCTTTTAGGTGGCAGTATCCAAATTGACTAAAAGGGGAAAGGGGTTTTCCCAGGGAAATTTGAACCACTTCTTTTATTTCTCTGTTTTTCATGTTTGAAAATTTGTGTTTTAGGTGTAAGATTTTGGGTCTGCATCATCAAATTAATTTAAATGCCATATTTTTAAACCCACCCATACGGGAATTTTCTGTGAATATCTTTTTTGTGAGGGGTGTATCGTTTTAAATAGTAATAGCCTGATTAACTGAAAATGTTTTATTGAACTTGAACTCTTTTGTGGGCATAAATGTTTTGTTAAATTCAGACATTAGAGTAAAAATTTCCTCCCTTTCTTTAACTATAAGGGGCCCAAACTAAGCGAGGAATTTTATGTAAATTTTGAAAGTTACTAAAATAAACATTTATTGGCAAAAATGGCCCGCTGTCATAGAGGAAAATATTTAAACAGGTATGCAAATAATAGCTTTTTAATTAAATTTAGTGTAAAAAAAGCTAAACTGAGAGAGGTTTGGTGCCGACGTAAACCCCTTAACTTGTGGCAAGACACTAAACGTTTGTGCCCCAAGGGGATAAATTTTCTTTAATTTTTTATATAATATTATATTATAAAAATATATTTATATTTATATATATTAAAAATATAATATATATATATAAATATATTTTTTAAAATATATATATATTTATTTTATATATTTTTATATAGAAAATTTTAATAATATTTTTTATATTTTTTAATATACATATATATATATAATTTTTTATATATTATATAAATATATTTTATATATATTTATATAAAATATATATATATATATATATATATCTATATATTTTAAAATGTATAGGGAAAATATATATATAACATAAATAATAAAATATATAAATAATATATTTATATATATAAAATTATATATATATATTTTATATATGGGGCACCAAAAAGTTTATGTCTTGCCCACAAGTCAAGTGATTGATTATGCAAGATTATTTCCCAGTAAAATAGGCCCTTGAAAAAGGAAAGTGTGATGTCACCGTGGGTTTTTTTTTATATTTCTAGATGGGGTTGAAAAACAAGGGAAATACAAAGGGGCCCTTTGGGAAGGGGGTGTGGAGTTAAAAGATAAAGAATAAAACTTTAAAAAGTGAATTTTTCACAGTTGTTCTTTTCTGATGACTCGGGGCCCTTGGGGATTTTTGAAGAGAATTTTTGGGGTTGGTGATGAATTTTTTTAGGGTATACAAAAGAAAATTAAAAGTGAAAACCCGGAAAGAGTAAGGTTTTAGGGTAACCAAAAATTAGGTGAGGGAAAAATTGGGTTTTCAAAAAAATTTTTTTTTTAGAGAGAGAGAGTAAGGAAAAGGTGGGAAAGTATTCCGATATTTGTTTAGTGGACGTGTCTGCAGATGGGGCTAATGAAAGATAGGGGAATTATAGAAAGGGTGAGGGGAAAAGGGTGGCGGAGGGTTACGAGTCGTGGGGAAAAAGGAAAATTTGTCCCAGGAGGCAAAAAAGGGGGGAAAGTATGATAGTTTTTAAAAACGCCTTAATGATGTGAAGCTTTGGGGATGAATGTTGC